CGGTTGCTAGGTGACATGACGTACGCCGGGGTAAGGAGGGGAGGCTAGACAGTCCAAATTCACAGCTATTTTTTTCCGGTCTTCCCGGTCTACCAAGGACCCGGCCCGCCGCGACCGGGGAGTCTGGGTCCTCCGGAGGACCCGGCCTGTCGTTTTGGACACAGCCAATATACAAGTTTCACTTTTGAATGGAATTACAGAAATATGAATATTTTGATGATATTCTGATTTTATGGTCAGCACCTGTATTGCTGAGGTGGGCTCATGGGTTTACACCTGCCTGGTGTAAAGAGATTAAACAACTGCTTCATGCAGTTCAGGTCACCACAGGCTCTTTCACAAGACCTCTAGTTCTGGGACTTCACCATCTTCTGGCTGTTTCAGTGAAACTTTTCAATAGAAATAGGCAGCAAGAGGGGTTAAAACCAGCCCACCCCTGATGCTCCTTTGTGCCACAGAGCAAGTTAGTAACAGGAAAACCACCGTCTGATGCCAATAATGTGACAAAGTGATGACCTCTGGTCTGTGCAAACAGCTGGTCACAAGATTAAACAACAAAAAACACATTTATTACCACATTGATTACAGTACCTTTGTATATAGTTTAAAAAACAAGTAAACCAAAACATTTATCTCCAAACTGAGTGAATTCATGTTAAGACAATGATATGAGTGAGATGTCTGTCATCCACTGGGTACATTGTGCTCCACCTCTCTCTTGGTTTCATGGTGCTCACTTTGTGAAAGCTCATGTCTGAGCGGGACATGGACAGCTCCTCCTGCTGGAGGGAGCTTTAAAACAGTCGGGTCTGTGAGAACGTCAGTGGTTTTGTGAAAGAGCCTCATGTCTCAGCTGTCATGTAAAACCTCACTAATTCTTGGTCTTTCTCTCCTTCTGTTTTGTTTGTTGTTGTTGTTTCTGTGTGTGTGTGTGTGTGTGTGTTTGTGTCTGTGTGTGTGTGTGACCTGCTTCTTGCTTAGCAAATGGAAAATCTAGCAGTAAGTGGTTCTCCTATTCTAGCTCTTCATAATGATGACACCCAGACAACACACTGACTAGCCCCTCACATCTCTAATCTGTGTTTATGCTTTCATTTTTTTTTTTCATTTAACCCAGTTCAGTTTCATCATCTGCCCAGTCCCAACATGCTATGTGATTGTTTTTTTCTACTCAGTGAATTATCAGTKCTGTTGTGCATCTTTTCTGGATGCAGATGAATGTCTTGTATTCAGTGTAGTGTTGATTTGTGGGGCTTTTATCAGTAAAATGAAGCACATGCTGCTATTTTCTGTTCATTTTGCATGTTCATTATTTCATCCCTCTATCTGTTCAAATCATCTTTTCCTCCTTCATTTTTCTCTGATAGTTTTATGTAGTTCTTTGACTTTAGTCATGTATCTGTGATTATGAGGCTTATCGGCAGGATGGCACCACATTCTGATCTAAAGTTTATCATCAAAGATTTCATCAGTTATTCTAACTTCTTCATCCATGACCCAAACCAAATGGTAATCTTGCACTAGTCCATTTTAATGCGTTCACCTGCTGCCATATTTCTAACCCAGGACACCCATCAGTTGAGTGATGTGATGATGGGAGTAATGTTGGTGTCAGTGCTGGGCTTTATGGAACTCCTATTTGTCTGTGTGTCTGTGCAGGAGTTGGAGTTGTGCCGGAGACTCTATAAGTTGCACTTTCAGCTGCTTCTGCTGTTTCAGGCCTACTGTAAGCTTATCAGCAGAGTGGACACCATAAAGAGAGAGGCCGAGGTAAGAATTAAGGAGCCGATTGTTGTAAAACAAGGGTTCAAACTAGCAGCTTTTTGTAGTTGTACAAAATGTGCTAAAGGTGCGATGTTTTGATCCAATACACTATGAACATCTGAGAATGTTTCCTCTTTTTCAACAAAGAAAGGTGTTTGACATTTTTTAATTAATGCATCAAAAAAAGGTAATGGTTCCTCTTTTCTAACATGAACAGTCACATCTGTTTCTATTTCAAACTGTTATAAAACAGTAATAAAATGACAAACACACACACACACACATTATATATATA